AGCGAACGAGCCGAACACGAGTTGTTCGCGAACAACAAGCCGTTTTGACAGTTATACCCCTCATGTGAGGGGTGGGCGTCTATTTATAGTGTTTTGGGAGTAATTAATGCAGGAATATGAATCACTTTGATCGGACAGTTTAGAAAGCTTTCTCATTTAATGGTCATTTGAGTGTCTTAACGATGTCAAAATTAAGCAATCTTAGGCTAATTAGATTCGTCTTGTCGAGACGCTCAATTCGACTATGAATTCACCATATACGACATCAGTTTGACCTTCCACATGTGTTTAATGACTTAATTTGAGCTTGATTTGACACAAATTGGAGTAGTTTTTATATCATCGGGTTTGCCTCAAAGAGCCGATCAATTTGACAATATGTTTGATGAAATCAGAGCTTCGAATGACTCTTAATTGAAATTTGAACGTTTCTTACTCAAAATATTGTTTCAAAATACGTGTCATGCCTTGAGGTTCGTGTCATATGATGAAAATTTATTGGTGGCGCATCAAGTCTCATGGAACTAAATTTTGCATAGGATTTGTCTCTTTCACTAAAAATAAAATGAGACTGTATTTTGACAGCTACATATAACTCAGAATGAGATGCACAACCCGTCTGTGTCACATTCTGTAGTTTATAAAAAAGCGAGCTTCTTGGTTTGGTGGTTCTTTCTCCATTTGACTCAGATGACAACGTATCATTCCATCATAACCATTTTTTACAAATTTACTTGAGCCAAACTTAGGTTGAGCATCATAGCTCATTGAATCAGTGGAGATAATCGAATGGTCAACATCGCTCGATAAAGTTTAAAACCAATAATCATGTTGAAATCCCAAATGGTATAAATCAAACATGATTTTGTCAAGTATTAAATATGTTTTATTCATGTGTTTCGAACATGTACAGAAAAACCTACTCTCATATAGATAAGTCAGAAGCTGAGATGTCGTTTGCACAAAAATCTCAGAAATATTTAATAACACTTCAGCGAGTCATTTTTTATTTGGATACATTATATTGTAATTCATGACCTTAATGTGTGAACATTTATAAATAGCCTATATATTTGATATCTAATACATGAACGACAACTACTACATATAAATATTATTATTTTTTTCATATATAAACCAAAAAGCTATAAGACCCACACGCCACACACAAAACACTCAAGAGTTTTAATATGAAGTCAAAAATATCCCTGTTACAAATTTTTTAAAGTAAAATACTTATTTTCATGCATAAATTTAAAACACTAAAATGCCATAAATATATATATATGTAATAATTGGGCCTTAGGCATGTGATGAGAATTGACATTCGTAACACACAATTCTAATTTAATTACATATTTGAAATCTATACGTTCATATTTACACATATTTCACTCAAAACTTTAATATCACATAAAAAAAACATCTCTATTATGAATTTTGACGCTCGGTCAGAGAGATCGAATAGGTAAGTCAACCCAACAAGTATGTAGCGGGTTAATTCGTCACCTTAGTCATGTAGATGATTTCAGCGAACTTGTCAAGTAAAAAAAATATCTCGGCCAAGCCTGAAAGCCCATTATCTTTGTTGCTCGTCCAGGATGACCAATTATCCATATATAAATAAATATTTATTTGTAAATAATAAATCAAATATCATATTGTGATATGTACAATTTTTTAATATATGAAACAATAATTTGATGCAATTTGTTTAAGGAGACATGAAAAAAAATTAGGTTATACGCTTAAAATTATAAGTAATTTAAATATAAATATAAAATAACACAATGAATTAATTCCATATATTTTATTTGAAGGTATTAGGACACAAATTTTATTCATTTTTTCCCAAAAAGAAATATAGAGTCCATCTCACGGAAAATATTTGGCTACGTAAGACGTATGCAGCGCTGAGTACGTCGGGAGTTATTTAGAGAGTACAGACGGGTTATATTCACTTTATATCCTTTTAGAGTTATTTAGAGAGTACAGACGGATTATATCCACTTTATATCCTTCTGTAATATTTTTGTAACTATCAAAATTACAGAAATGTATAACTTATTTATAGGTTACAACTATAATATTTTTGTAACTATGAGAATTACAGAAATGTATAACTTATTTATAGGTTACAAATAAGTCACAAATATATTAAAGAAAAGTGAAAGGGAATAACAGAGATGTAAACGCTCATCTTCTCAATAACCTCCGGTACGCAAATATTTTGCCCATCTCACGAGCCCAACTTTTCCCTCCAAGCCCTACCCGACTACCATCGCTAGCCTCTTCACTGCGCCGCTCGCCAGTTAGCTCGACCGCGCCCCCATTTCGCGAAACCTCAAGCATCCATGAGAGGCCTGAACCGAATCACCGCATCTTCAGGTCGCCCTATTACTGCAGCCTTCTCCACCCAACCTTACTCCACCTTCTCCGGCGGCGGCGCCGGAGGTAGAGGGAGGGGCCGCGGCGCTAGCTCTCCTCCCACGGCCTCACCTGTTCCCGGTCAAGAAGACACCACTGGCGATGAAGACTCGTTCCCCTCCTTTGGCCACGGCCGTGGTCATCCTCCGTTTCCATCTTCCGCCGGCCTCCCTTCTTTCTCCTCTTTAATGTCTTCCCTCAAATCCTCTTCTTCTGTCGGCCGCGGCCGCGGCCGGGGGCCCATTCCTCCGGACCAACCCCAGTCCCTACCGAAACAACCAATTTTTTTCCGGCGTGAGGATCCCGAATCCCAGCCGGAGAAATCTCAGTTTGCCGATCCCGGTGAATCTGCCCCCCTTCCTGTTCTATCTGGCTCTGGTCGTGGGAAACCTACAAGAACCGGGGAATCCGACTCCAGGCCAATCGAGGAGAATCGGCACCTGCGCAACAAAGCACAGCCGATAGGCCGGAGCCCGTTGTCATCACCATACCAGCCGAAGCTTGGAAGCCAGGAGGCTGCGAGAAGGGCGGTGGATATTCTATCACGTGGTGGGCCAAGTGGGCCTGGTGCGAGGGGTAGAGGCGGGAGAGGAATGGTTGGAAGAGGGAGAGGAAGAGGGAGAGGGGATAGGTTTGGCGGTGGGAGGGGCCGTCGTGATGCTGATCACGAGTTTGATCTTTATTTGGGGGATAATGCTGATGGTGAGAAGTTCGAGAAAAGGCTTGGGGAGGAGAATATGAAGACAATAGCTGAGGGTTTTGAGGAGATGAGCTGGAGGGTTCTTCCTTCGCCAATGGAGGAGGCTTATTTGGATGCACTTCACACCAATAATTTGGTAGATTGAGATTATTTTGTGCATGGTTATTTGGATTCCTCATTATTGTAGTCCGATTGTTTTTTCATGTTTCTGTAGATTGAGTACGAGCCTGAGTATTTGATGGAGTTCGACAGAAATCCAGATATAGATGAGAAGCCTCCCATGTCACTGGAAGAAGTTTTAGCTACCGCAAAACCTTTTTTGATGGCTTATACGGGGATGAAGAGTCAGGAAGAATGGGAGGTACTAGGCCTGTACTCATGTTCGTCATCATCATTATCATTAGATTTATCCCAATTAATTGTTGTCTAGTACTGATCCCCAAACCTCTAAATTGGTGTTTTGCTTTTAGTGTTATAGCTTTGTTAACATTTGCTTATTATGATTTTTCTTGTTATAGCATAGTCAATTTGATATCTTTAAGCTTATCTATTAACAACTTGCTATGAAGATTTTATAACAACATTAGTCAAGTTCTAGTCATTTTTTTTTATTTTTCTTAATTAATTTCTACTTGTGAAGATCATGTTACTGCATTAGCCCTGGTTCTATTGTTTGTTTTGGCAAAATTTAATGAAGAAGTAAATCTGTTCAGAATAAGGAATGCATTGTTTTTCTGTATGAAAGTTGATACCTTTTACAAATGTAGTGGTAGCATGAACGTTAGAATATTTAATAATTAATTTTCACAATGATGACACATTTGACAATTTTAAGGGCAATTATTTAGCATTTGCAGAAAGTTTCATCTCATTTGCGAACAATTTAGTATGAACCCCTCAAGGCTATGAACGCTGATATGGAAGGGCTTACTTTCAAGCTTAGTCAGCATTCCTCTTAAAGTTGATTTGTTTTTATTATTTATTTGTATGCCCTATTATAAATTATGTATTTATTTTTTCTGTAGACAGTTCTGACACTATTCCTTAATTTCTCTTGCCTCAATTGTCATACTTCCTTTGGTTGTTGTGTACTCATAATTTTCTTGTTCTAGAATATTCCAGTTATGGAACTATTACTTCATATTCATGCATGTACATGTGGGGCTGAGTTAGAGATTTAGTCATGATTCTCTGTGAATACTTGGCAAATTGCTGAGTATGTATATAACTTGAATAGTTGATTGTGGCATTGGAAACATAAAAATTTTGAAGCACCCATACAGCGAGACTTCAAATTTTTGCCTATTATTTTTGTGTAATAAGGTAAAATATAGTCGGAATATGTGGAGAACAAGCTTAAAATGTTGACTTTGACATCAAATTTTGGTCATTTTAGTTGAAATCAGGTCATAAATAATAATGTCTAAATAAATCTTTATTTTCACCGCATAATGCATTTTTCTTGAACAAGATCTAGTTTACAGTTAGCTTTTTTTTTAATATAATTTTAATAATCTCCTGTCCTCTTGTGTATATTTTTATATTATTTAGTTAATCAGTACATCTTTAGTTTGTGTTATGTAATGTTTTATTGGTAACTTACAATGCAGTAGTTTTTAGCGAATCTGTATTATTTTAAGATGAAGGCTTAAATTGAGTCATTTCATCTAAGGCTGCAAACGAACCTAGCTTAGTCAAGCATGGCCATGTTCAAGCTCGAGCTTGTTTATAAAATTCAAGCTCAAGCCGAGCTTGAGCTCAAATTGAGCTTTTGGTTGTGTTTAAACTTGAGCTCGTTTATAAAATTTGAATTTGAGCTCCAATCGAGCTTTTGTATTTATGCTCAAGTTTAGTTCATTTGTCATTTTGACATTGGTTTAGTTTGGTTCATGTTTATTTCTTATGATAATAGTCGAGTCATCATCGAACAGATTAACAAGTAGTATTATCGAGCAACTTAATTTATATCCAAATCACCTTTATTGAATAAATTTAATATAATGTTATCGTGTTATTTATTTTCTAAAAAAATGAGACTTTTCGAACAAACTAATCAGTATTATGGTTGAGCTATTCTGTGTTTAATCAAACTGGAGCTTACACATGAGTTACTTGATGAATTTACAAGAACAAACGAGCTACTGAATGAATAATTAAAAGAAGCATATAAATGCGTAAAATAAATGGATAACTAAGCAAACCAGTCTTTATATATAAATGAATTTTAAATTGAGTTTATTTACAAATTTTAAATTAAGTTTTAATCGATTTTATTCATAAACAATAATTTAAGCTTATTCAAGAGGTTAATCATGAACTTTAAATGAAACAATTCATCGAACTTCTTAAAGATTTTGTTCATAAGCTTTAAATGATATTATTCCTGAACATAAATGAATCAAACAAGGAGTTTTTCATACTTGTTCATTTAACAATCGAGCATTTATAAAAGTTTTCATACTTGTTTACTTAGTTAATCAAACGAACTTGAACGACCTCTTATCAAGCCGAGCTACGAGCAGTTTATCGAACATTTGGTTCATTTGCGACTCTAATTTTGATCCATCATAATTTATGGAAGCCCACAATTTTTTTTTTATAAATACAAAATTGTGATTTGAAATAAATTAATATAAAAAAGTAGAAGGAGAATTTTAAAATGTTAGAAACAAATTGCAGAAAATCAAGTTAATCTTTTATGAAAAAACTTCAAAGCCATACAGACAAGGGAAATGATGACCTCCCATAATAATTTACAAGCACCAAGGTTTTATCAAGAGTAACATATTAAAAGAGTTATATCTCAAAGTCAAAGCATACAAGTGAGTTGTTTAATTTTATGGTGCATATGAAGAAATCTTGATTAGAGAGAAAAACTTAATTGAGTTGAAATTAACTTAGGCGAGGTTATCTAACCTTTATACCAATTTTTGTTTATTTATTTGACCATGGATTTGCCTCTTCTAATCATTGTAAGTTGGATAAATTATTGATCTAGACCCAAGCTTTTCAACCAAGGTGAAAAAGGGATGCATTACATTTTAAAACAAAAATGCCTCATTTGCCAATCAACCCTCACAAGAAATTACTCCATTTGGAGGCTGGACATAGCTCTACATGCAAAGTCCAATAGTGGATGGCATATGTAAATGAGTTAGTATACTTTTTTTTTTGCTAATTTAAAACTTTACCTGGATTTAGAAATTTAATTGCAATTTGTAGAATGGCATGGCTTTTATGCTCAACTATCATTAATAGTTAGGTTAGGGTTTCAAAGAATGCTTTTCATTTTTGGTTTTTTACGTCCCATTCTTGGTTATTTTGTGAAGAAAATTTTATCATTCTAGTGTTCTTTTGTGTAACTCTCCAATACCTGCAGCACCATTTTCTTTTTTCCAATGCAGCCTCCACAACAGCTGTAGTCGATTTAAATAGTTTGAATTAACTATTGTTTACGGTTTTGAAAAATCTTTTTCTCAAAAGAATATCTACATGCTTAACCTTTATGTTTCTTTTGAACAACTTTTTTATATGTAGTAGTATATGTGAAGTGCTTATGCGTTATATTAATTCATAAATAAATTATCTAGCAATTTTTTATGATAAATATATATTAAAACATTACTTTCATGCATATTATTTTGAAATAAATTGTTATTGTTTCCATGTACTATATTAAACTGTAAATATTTTTTGCTCCATTTAGTCAGAAAAATTATCTTGAGATTTTTGTTGTTTAGCTTTTTTTTAGTTATATTACTTGTTGACAATTTTTTTGCTCTTTGCCTTTCTCCTAAACTTTCCGTATTGTTCTATATGTAAAACAGCTTGGTAATGCAACTGTAATGGAATTTTTATGATTTAAACCACAGCCCAAAGACGGGTACTTCATATATATTACTTATTTGCGAATTTCCCAACCCTGTACTTCACATATAATTTTTTTCTATTAAATACCCATCTATGTACTGCTATTTTAATGAACCATTAATATTTTAAAATCACATTTTCATAGCTAGGTATTTCATTTATGTCGTTGAAGTACCTAACTATGTATTGATTCTGCTATAATAGTCTTTGAATGCTTAAAAAACTTTAGTAAATAGCCAGGCACTGCACTATATTGCTTTTTATTTTTGTGTGTGTGAAATACCTAAGTATTTAATTTGAAAAGCACCAAGCTAGTTATTGCAAACATATTGCTTCGGGAGGTACTGCTACTATAATAGAACTTTCATTGTTAAAACCACGAGTAAACAACTTTTCTGTGAAGTATCTATTGGAGAGCTATCGAATTAATAATGTCTAGATAAGAAAAAATAGATGCCACACATTCATTGTTTACAAAGAAATATCTCTTTCACGAATACATATTCAAAAAAAAGGGAAGAATGAGCCTGTATATTGTTAGATTATATTTTTATGTTAGTTATTATAATTTTTTTCTTTTTTCTTAATTCGTAGTTTTGTATATAAATACTCATTGAAAAAGTGAAAAAACTAAAATTTCATAGCTGCCTCTTCTTCTATATGGTTTCAGAGCGAGGTTAGTATTTTCTTCTTTAAATATTTTTTCTCTCCACTCTTGCTCCAATCCCTTTCTAGTTGGAGCTCTTACTTCCCTTCAAGAAGTTCACTATCATAAAAGGTGAAAATCATGTTAAAGAAGAATTCCAGGGCTTCAAGCCTCACATCATTTGAATAGAAGGAATTTTCCGAAGTGGTCCTAAATCTTGTAGTCCTTTCTTAAAAAAAAAAGGAAAGATCCAAAATCTCATGGATCTACTTTTAGAATCAAATGATCCGCGGTTTGTACTTTGTGAAGAGATGTATTCCTTGAACATGGCATGGTTGTGGAATACCATGATACCAAAAATTAGCAGGCTATTTATGTTCCTATTTACCGGAAGAAATGTAATATCTTCAAGCAAACTTATTCAAAAGTCAAAGACGTTGCACTTATCTACGAGATCAAATTGAAACTCCCTACCGCCAAGGAAGGTAGCCTCCATATCATTTAATATTTCAATACTAGGAAGGTTTATTGGTTTGAACTGGATTATTACGAAGATCTCAAGATGATATGTTATGAAGATGCAAAATGCTCAAGCGATTTGTGGAATGAGAAAGACAATTTGAGTTTCTTACAGGACTTAATATTGATTTTGATTAAGTTTCAGTCGAGATCTTAAATAGAGACGATCTTTTTTCTCTATATGCTGTTCTATCTTGTATAAGCTGCACAGGGAAGAAAAGTCATGACACTCCATTATTTGTTTTCCAAAACATTTGTTATTGCGACCATTGAAACCCAAAGTAAGGGATTTACTACCATAGATTTATCTCTCAAAGAAGAATAAAAGCCTCCCCTCAAAGGCATTCTGTATTGTAACTATTACAAGAAGAAATGACACATCAAAGAGAAATGCTAAAAACTTTATGGGAAGCCACCAAATTATGTTAAACACAAAGAAGGGAACAGTAATAGGCAAGCTTGTAATATTGAAATAGACAGACTTAACTCAGAAGCCATTAACAAACTAAGAAATCTCTTTAATTATATGGAAAAGCCATATGGATCATGTTCTCTTTCTCAAAATAGTTTGACTTCTAGTCATTGACCACATGACAAATCTTGTCAACATCTTTCAAATCTACAAAACTTGTTCCAATTATAGAAAAATAAAAGTGACATTGTTCCTTAACAACTGTTGCAGGACAAGAAAATCTCTTTGTTTTCCTAAATTTTACTCACTGAAACATATTGCATGTTCCTCGCCTTGCAGTTAACATTTTATCAATCCATAAAATTATCAAAGATTATAATTGCAAAGTCACATTTTTTACTGTTTATTGTATCTTTTAGAACCTCACTATAAGAAAGATAATTGGGCAATCTAAAGAGAAGGATAGACTATATCTTCTTGAGACACATAATCAATTACTATGTTTATTCATTTCCACTGACAATACTTACATCATCTGGGAATCTTATTATATGCCGCGATATTCCTCATTTGAAACTCTTCAGTTTATATTTCTTTATTTTTTATGAATGTAAACATTAAAAATTTTTATTGTGAGACTTTGTGAACTTGCAACATGTCATCATTTTGTTTTTCCCAAAAGTAATTTTGACCATCTATACCTTTTGTTTTAATTCATTTTGATATTTGGGGATCCTCTAACATATCAAATATTTTAGGTGCTGCGGGATTTTTTTCATTCATTGATAACTACACTTGAAAACTTGGGTATACCTTATTAAATTAAAATTTGATATCGACATTATCCTTCCCACCTTCATTGCAATGATAAAAAATCAACTTAATATAAATATTAGACCGTTTTAGACTGATAACACTCTTAGTTATTTTAATCACTCATTATTATTCTTTCATAATGAGGGTATCATCCACCTATCATCGTGTTTTGACACTCACAACTAAATGGAATACGAAAAGAAAAATCACCATCTTTGGAAAATTATCAAAACTCTTTTCCTCTAGAATTAAGTAACAAAACGATGCTAGGGCGAAGCTGTTCTGACTACTATCTACCTAATCAATACAATACCCTCAAAAGTGGTTGACTCCATAGGGCCTTTAAATTATATGACATATTTTTTTTCCCCAAATTACTTCTTCTAAAAATTTCCTTGACAAAGCAATACCTATCTAGTTACTTTGGAAAAAATATTGTATTTGAAATACCTTGCTGTTTACTTGTGTTTTAAGCATTTAAAGTCGTTATAGCAGCAGTACTTAATTGGTAACTTTGCCAGAAAAACAATATATGCAAAGAACCTAAATTTAAACTTTTGATTTTAAGCATTTAAAGTCTATTTAAAGTCTATTACAGTAACAACACATATCTTGATATTTCAAGAAGAAAAAAAAGATATTTGAAGTACCTAGCTCTTACTAGTGGTTTTAATAATGAAATGTCTCTTATAATAGCAGTAGTTTATTTTACTACAGCATAGAAATAATATAAGCTCAAACAAATGATATATCAAAGCTTAAAATTAAATTTGATGTAACTCTAATTCAACATGATATTTATTTAGCTGTTTAGTGATTATTAATTTATCTAGGGCTGCTAGAAAGACCAGCCTTTTAAAAATATTTAGGTTTAAACTAATGATAACAATCTATTATCTATGTATTTTACATTGATAGGAATTTCATAAAAAGTTCATTAAAAATGAATTGTATCGGTATTTTATAATCCGACTATCTCCTTTTTTTTTTAACTTCATAAAAGGGTTGTCGTCAAGAAAGAATATCAAAGTCACATTCACACAAATTTTAATTTTCATGTCTGTGAGCAAATGTTTAACTAAATTGCAGGCCGCTAATTTTGCATCTAGCATAGTATTATCCTAAACTCTGGTCAATATCTCCATCTTCCATTGTTTTGTGGAGTAAAGGCTTGTTGTTGTTGTTCATCTTCCATTGTTTTGACAGGCATTTTTCTATCTTTTCTCATTTTTTTTGAAGGATCCTCTTCTTCCTGTCTCGTGTTTCAAATTAGATTTCTTCACTTTATTCTCATTCCACAATGAAAAGAGGAAAGGGTAAATATGAAAGGTTTCTTTGTAACCTTCAAGCCAGCCAATCTACTAATTGATATTGGGTTTCTGAGGTGTGTCGGGGTTTAAGTGTAAAAAAATAATATGAATTCATTTACACATGTCAACTAGCTATAAACCTCCTCAAGTAAAGCTACGTCTGGTCACTAAATGCAATAATTTCTTCCCTCTTTCGTCTGCACATCCTAGAAGCTCTCTAAAAAGGATTGTTGGTGGTTTTAGACAAATAGTATATGCAGGAATATCTTGTGTTCATTTGGACAGTTTTAAGCAAAATTGTTGTGCATTCTTCTATGAAACATATATAAGAAACATAATATAAAATTGTTGTAATCAACCAATCCAGTTTTTTCCTACTGTCATAGAAATCTTTGTAAACCTAAAAAATTTCCGTGTTTCGTGTTTCACTACCAGGAGTTTATTTTCATTTTGGAGTTGGAGCAGTGGATGCTATCAAGTAATTGAGCTCCAGGATACTGGATTTTCTCATGCCTGCCTCTTTCTAACTATTTGCTCGAACTTTCATATTTTAATGCTTTTGAACTCAAATTTTGTTTTGCTGTTACTTCATGAGTTGGATATAAACCCTCTACTAAAATTTGATATTTGATTTTTCGTTTTTTCTAACTAGACTACTGTCATATTTATCTCTATCAGGAAGCTGTGAAAGACTTGATGGAAAGGTTGCCGCACTTGAAAGAGCTTATTGATATGTATTCTGGTCCTGATAGAGTGACCGCTAAACAACAAAAAGAGGAGTTGGAAAGAAATACTCTTCCAGAAAAAGTTCCTCCTTCTGTAAGGAGGTTTGCTGATCGCGCCGTCCTTTCTCTACAGGTTTGTGTTATTTGTTTATGTTTTATTATCATTTTTAAGCTGCTGCAGATCTGTTATCCTTTTAGTGCCACAACTCTATTTAAATATTCTCATGAACCTTCTTGGTCGATACCCTCAATCAGTATGGGCCTAGTCACATGTTAAAATTTAAGGAAATTTACATATTACATATCTAACAACCAAAGTTTGGTTCCTTGGTGTCATAAGCATATGTATGAAAATGTATATTTTACTTCTAAATGGACTGTGATTGTGGTATTTTTGATGCGATGTTAAATATTTGAGTGATATGTATGTAAATATGAATGTTTAGGCGTTGTGTAAATGTGCAAGAATTGTGTGGTATGTATGAAATTGCCTCTAAATGTTATTATGTAAGAACCTGCTCCAATAAAAAAGTTAATGGGGCGATAGAACATGCTAGTGCCGGATATTATCTTGGATGTTTATTCATTGGATATTATTTGAGTCAAGCTAAGGATGTAAGGAGCAGTAATTGGTGGGCTTATAATTTAATTTTCTTTGAGGACAACTAAAATATACTTGACCAACTCACAAAATCATGTAAGTTATATTTACGTGGAATTGGAAATGAGCTTTATTATTCTCATTCCAGTTATTTTCCACCATGTCGAGTGTTAGACTGAGAATGTTTGGTAAACATTTGAAAAGTAGTGAGAGTATGTATTTTATAGACAAGGTGGAAGCACAAGGAAAATGAGAATGTAAAAATACAACCTAGGGGTCTTTGGCATGACAAGTTAGGTAGAAAAATTGGAGACAATAAATGTGAGGGTAGAAATAACTTTGGATATATCGAGAGTTATGTGGCTAGGAATTGAGAACAAAAACTTTCACAAATTAAAGTAAACAAATAATATATAGTTCAAATTAATTTCATGTAAATTATTTAAACATTCATTTCTATGGTATTGAGTTTATATTTGTTTGTATGTTTCCATCCATTATATTGTCCACCGTTAATTGTGCATGTTCAAATGGCCTAAATTTATTTTCGATTATCTAATTTTCATATTTTAAATATATGGCACTCTTACCATCCCTTTAATATTGTCTTTATTTATTTATTTTTGTGCTTTAATCTCAACATTATCATTTCTATCACCCTCAACTTAACTATCAGTGATTTTTTTTTTCAAGGCAGCCAACCCTCAAATCCATATCATTGGTTTATAAATTACTTTTTGGACTATGATATCCTCTTTTCACTTAATACTGCTAAGCGTTTCTCCATTTCAACTTTCTTGGATTATTCTTTGAAGTTTTAGTATCATTTATATCATTTTATTATTGTAGATCCATGATTCTGAAATCTTTCACAATTTCTTTTCACTTTATTTTCTAAGAATATATTGGTAATTGTTCAGACAATGTCCATTTTCTCTCATTTAGTTATTTAAATTTAATCTTTAGAGTAAGCTCGAAGTCATTGATCCTTTTTGACACCATTAAATTTAGTGGAATTGCTTGCCTTTAATACGGCATTGCTTCATTATTTGGTTATCTCACTTCTTATTATTTGATACTTAATCTACTAGCATTAGTCTTTTTATAGTTGTTTTCTATGTCCACGTGTGTATTGTTATATTTGTTTTCATATTGATACATTAAATTCTTACTTGAAAATATATATTGATAATAAATTTTTTAAGCATACAATTCATCCTTCTTTGACGTGCACAAGAATTGACATTATCACACTGACACTCGTGAGGAGAGTTTTACTGTATATGGGAGTTGATGCAAAATAAAAACATTTGTCTACTCGGCCTGATTTCATCAGTTTCATTTGAATTACTAGACAACCTGTATTGCACCTATTGCTTATGATAACATTGATTAAAACTTGCGGAATATACAATTTAGTTTATTCATAAATTGTTTGGTTGACTATGGTGCGTGATACTTCTGCATGAATAACTTCAATCCTGGTAGGTGAAACTTATAATTTTCTTAACATGGATTTATAAATCATTTGAGTTAAAATGAATGCATTATTTTAAATATTTATCTTAAGTTTAATAGTTTTGATCAGTGAAATAAGCGGGCAAAAGTAATCTTTCTACATTGGTATCTATATGTCATATGATCATTATATTTTTGTTGATGTGCTTGGTGATGGATAAATCTTTATGAAATTGATGAAACTCTACAGACTGTGGATAAATATAAATGATGCAAATTTAACTTTTTGAAGTTTAGAAAACTTATCTGAAAATTGACCTAGGAGAGTTTATCCCATATTCGTTTGAAACCCTTTCTTCATAAGAAAATTTTATCATATGTAATTAGCTTTTTTATGTAGATCAAGGTTGTAAAGATTCTAAGGTCATTCCAAGTGAAAGTTTAAGTACCCAATATTGATTATTAATTTTGGATTTTAAAATGAAGGGTTAGTAGATAAAAAATACAATACAATATTATCATAAAATTAAATGAGGGCACTTAAAAGATAAATAAAATTATTTTTATAAGCAAACTTCATGACCTTAAGATTTAAGATATTCATTAAAAATAATAATACTATGTGGGATAAAATAACGAGCACTATTAAATAAATTTCAAAAAGTGTGCTTGGAGAATCAACAGTAAAACTCTTATGTATAAAAATAGTCAATGGTAAAATAATAATATACAAAAAAAAAGATTAAAAATAAGAAGTTTTGTTATAAAAATTGATTTAGATGTAAAATCTTAAATCATATTGATTATTTTCTTATGAAAAAATAAATTAAGATTGTTAATATTTTAAGGTCATTCCAAGTGAAAGTTTAAATACCCAATATTGATTATTAATTTTGGATTTTAAAATGAACGGTTAGAAGATAAAAAATACAATACAATTTTATCATAAAATTAAATGAGGGCACTTAAAAGATAAATAAAATTATTTTTATAAACAAACTTCATAATCTTAGGATTTAAGATATTCATTAAAAATAATAATACTATGTGGGATAAAATAACGAGCACTATTAAATAAATTTCAAAAAGTGTGCTTGGAGAATCAAAAGTAAAGCTCTTATGTATAAAAATAGTTAATGGTAAAATAATAATATACAAAAAAAGATAAAAAATAAGAAGTTTTGTTATAAAAATTGGTTTCGATGTAAAACCTTGGAGAATTGAGAAAAATATAAGGTGACTCGTAGGGAGTCTGAGTGAACAATTTGTGATGCTAAAAATTTTGCTTTTAGTAAAATTTATGAGAAATTAGATAATAAAGAGGGTAAAAGAGATATGTATAAACTAGCTAAGCAAAGAAATATGAAAAGCAAAAATTTGGTTCAAATAAAGTATACTAAAGATGAAAATAAAAAAAAAATATTTTTCTAGATGAGGAAATTTAACATTGGTGGGTGATAAATTTTGATTAGCTTTTTAATAAAGATTATAAATATATGATCGACTTTAGTGATTTTAATATCATAAATAATGACAATTTTTTTATTTCTATTATCACATTGATAAAATAAAAGTTGATAAGACTTTAAAGAAAATAAAGTGTGGAACAACAGTAGAGTTTGATGGTATTCCAATAGAAGTGAAAATGTTTAAGAGACCTAAGAATTTTTTTTTCTTACTAAATTTTTTAATATTATTTTAAAAATTTAAAAATGCCTGACGAGTGGATAAAAAGTCAATTTGTTCATATTTTTAAGAATAAAGAGTTGTATGAGAGTGTTTAAATTATAGAGAAATTAAGTTATTGTATGATATATTCAATTTTCTGGGGAGAATAATTGAACATAGGTTACGACGTGATACAATAATTTTTCAAAATTAGTTTAGATTCATATAAAAAAAATCTACCATGGAAGTTATGTATTTATGAAGAGGTTTGATGGAGAAGTACAAAGAGTGTAAGGGGGATCTACATATGATTTTGGTTGATTTAGAAAAATCTTATGATAAATTCTAACAAAAGTATTTTGGAGATTTATAGAAAAAATGTGTTAATATTGTTTATATTTAAATATGTATGCTATAATTGTTACTTATAGTCGAACACAAGGAGGATTAACCAAGTTTTTTTTCTATTTTAGTTGTATGACATCAGGGATCGAAGCCCATATCTTTTTGATTTAGAGGAGAATGTGCATTGGTGTATGTTTTTTGCTTATGATATTCTTCTTGTGGATAAGCCTAGAATGAGAGTTCAGGAGAAACTTGAATTATGGAGTCTAACTTTAGAGTTTAAAGGTTTTGTTTGTATAAATCTAAAACTAAATACATGGAATGTAATTTTATTAATTGTAGATCTAGTGGTGTAGTTATAACAATGGGTGATTAAGTCATTAAATGGTGTGAGTATTTTAGATATCTTCGGTTTTTTATTGCAAGTGATGATGAAATAGATGTGGATGTTATTAGTAGGGTTCAAGTTGGATGGTTGAATTGGAGGAATGCATCGGGCCTATTGTGTGATAAAAAGGTACAACTTAAACTTAAAAGGAAAATTTTATAAGATGCCAGTGAGACCTACAATGCCATATGACACATAATGTTGACCTGTAAAAGAGAAACATAAAATTAAGTGTTGCTGAGATGGGAATGCTCAGGTGGATGACTGGCTTTATGCTTAGAGAAAATGTGAAACAAATATATTCTAAAATGGTTTGAGTAGCTCCAATGGCAAATAAGATTAGAGTCTCCTTAGATGGTTTGGTCAAATTAAATGTCGGTCATCTGATGACCCACTTAGGAGAGCAGATGTTTTAGATTTGTCTTGTGTTAAAAAAAAATAGAGCTAGACCTAAAAAGACTTGTAGAAAAAAATAATCTTAATTTTTTAGAGTTAAATGAAAATATGACACTCAATAGGACATAATAGAGAAAAATGATTCATATAACCGACCCCACTTAGTAGGATAAATGCTTGTTGTTATTGTACTTGTAATTATATGACCATTAATCAAATGATATGAAAAAGGGATAGCTTGTGATGCCCTTTGCTAAAATTAATACTTATATTAATT